AAAAAAAAAAAAAGGTAAGGATGGGCACGAAGACAGAGGCTACTGCTTTGATTTGCCCTCCCTCCCCCAGCAGTGCACCCCTCTGCAGCAAGAGGCTTCCCTTTGGGAAACAAGACACCTCAAATCCCAAATGCTTTTGCTCCAATACATGTTTTAAGAATGTATTGGTTGGGGCTTGGCGGGGCGGGGAATACGTTCAGGGCGCTCCCACTCACAGTCCAAGGAAGTAGTGGCCATGAGGTAGGTGAGAGGAGAGATGGCCACGGCTTGGATGGGTCCGGAGTGGAAGGAGAAGAGGCATTCCGGATCCTGGGTCTAATCGTCAAAAGACAGAGAACCTCTTAGATCTCGGAGAGAAGTTAGTTCATCGAGACTTACGGTCACATTTAAATAAATGCAGCTAGAACCTTCTACCACATGTGGTGTTATGAAAGACAACAAGGAGATCGCATCTTCGTTTCCAAAGAGCCCGGGCATCTGGGATGAGAATCAGATGTTGGGAACGCTGGCTGGGCACCGAAGGGCTGCGTGATTTTGCCCGGGTCACTCCTGGTCCCCGCTTCCATGTCTTCGACTCTCAAACCAGATGACGGCAACTGGCTGCCAGCGAAACAGCAAAGCGGGGAGCAGCGCTACGTGGGGGTGCCAACGATCACCGCGTGCTTATGAGGACTGGGCAGCAGCTGGGACGCCACCCCTTTTCTGGGAAGCTTTGCTCTTGACATAGCACCTTTTTAAAAAAGTCTAACTCACACCTTAAAGAGTGGGAGAATTCTAAGGAGAACTGTGTGTTAAGCAATTTTTTAAATGGGAACAACAACCAGTCATGGAGAAAAGAGCTTTCAAAAAATAACAAAGGTTTTTTTCACCAGTGGAAAATGGGGTGGGCCGGGGAGTGGAATAGGTAACTTACAATATTCGAAAAACTCAGGTCAAGCTTCCATATGGCTCCACATAGATCCTAAAATAAATAGATAAATACCTAATAAGTGTTTGCCTTATCACTTCAAACTTAGCAAACTGGAAATTTTACCAAACTAGAACAAAAAAAATTCCTCTCATAATTTAATTATAACAGAGCAAACAATGCTGCCAAAAGTGTACATGTAGATATTCTACAATGTGATCAAACTTTAACCACTTTGACCTATCTTAGAATATAACTACCTCCCCCCACCCAAAAAAAAATCTCATTATGCTTGTAGCCTAATATAATAAAGATATTCCAAATTGGTTTTCTTTGTTTGAAATGCAGATCAATTATATGCCAAAGCTCAGGAACTCTTTACCGAAGCATCAGAAGTAACCTCGGTGGCAAAAAGGCCTAGCTGTGGTCATTAGTTACATGGCGATGTTGAGGTTACAGCCAGGTTACTTCAACAATTCAAGAGCGAAGAATGCTACTCACCTGAGCCAACCAAAAGTTATTCCCAGGGTCATCCATTTTTATCATAGAGAAGAGCTTGACATGCTTGCCGACTGGGAGTTCATTTATAGGCTCGAGCTCCATCAGTGCAGTGTCATCAATAGCATCGGCAGTATCTATTGTCTCAAAATCCCATATCTTATAAAATAAGGAGAAAATATTTTAGTCCAGCTGCAGAACATGAATCTTTTCTAAGGGAAAAAAATGTTTCAGAGGTCACTTCTTCTTTATTGAGAATTAAACAGTGGATGTAAGTGGTACATCTGGGGTTTTGTTAGGAACTGGTGGTTAACAAATTATTATCGCTCTCTTTCCATTTATAGAAATTACTGAAAGAGGACAGCCCTGCCCCAGTATCTTAACTTGCTCCAAGTAAACTGTGTTTCAAGGTTTCTGTCAAATCTTTCAGCATATAAAATAACCACAAAGATTACATGGTTGCGTGGTTTAGCAAGGTACTCTAAGGAGCCCTGTTTAATGAAGACTACAGTCAGTACCAGTGGCCAGAGTCGATTCCAAGTCTTAGTGGCACTCATAGGCTCCAAGAGAGGTGAAATGGGCCTGTTTGCTTAAAGATTCAAGAACTGTCTACATTATAAACAGAGCAAACAGGTACCGATAATGTTTTCTTTAGGTACTGTTTCTCTTCTTTAAAGACCAATTTAGACTCCACTGTCTCAGATGACGGGTCCCTGGGTAGCACAAGTGGCTAGCATTTGACTACTCACATCAAAGGTGGCAGTTTGGCCCCACCCAGAAGCACCGCCACAGAAAGGCCTGGCAAATTGCTTTCGTAAAGATCACAGCTAAGAAAGGTCTAGAGTCGTTCTCTGTAACCCACAGGGTCACCATGAGTGGAAAGGGACTCAACAGCAGTGGGTTTGCTGTGGCTTTTCCTTTCTAACTCTCAGAGAAGGGCGGATTGCTCCTTGGGAAAGGAGACTAGAATGCTCTAAGAAGAGGGGGACTCACGATCTCCTCTCTCTGCGGCAGGAGAGCTCCTCGGCGAAATATCAAAACCCGCCCTGAATAATTCTAATGGCTCAAACTGCCATGTTATTCCAGACTTAAAAATTCAGACTTGGGCAAAGAAATTTCCAAGGACGGAAACTGGTCCATAAATTAGCGTGACAGCGAGAGGGAGTTGGGATGGGTGAGAAGTAAAGATTAGAGAGATGATGGCAGGCTTTCAAAATGGGAAGCAAGCTCACAAACGTGTGATGCTCATGAAGGGATCACCTGGGGAATGTTTAATGTTTTTCCCCCCACTTGGGTTTTCTCCTATTTCAGAATTTTGGTATTTTTAAGGTGATATGTATCTTGGAAGAGTAGTCAATATATACTATATGACAAAATAAAAGTCATAAAAGATCTTATCAGAACAATGAAGGAATCTAAGAAGATGAACCGTAATATTATAAATGTACAGATCTATTCTTGAGTTCAAAGAGCCAATGGGAAGAAGACAGACTGTGAAAGATATGGCTTAAAGATAATACACTCAAATCCTCACTGATAAAGTTTATTGTGCCAACCTGGCTGATAAACACTTTTGGGGTTAATTGGCTCAGTGGAGATAAATGGCGGAGAGATAAATGGCTCGGTGAGCCTCGCCTTTCTAGTTCTCAAGTCTCTTGCTTTCTGATGGTTGGACCAGGGTGCAGCTGCCTTAGCTAGTTCCTGCTTCAGCTTGCAAGGCTCACTTCCTGCAAGACATCCCCAAGGAGGAGCTGCATGGACCTACCCCGATGCAGCCCTGGGTGCTGAAGCAGCCGTGTGGAGACACACACAGACACACACACACACACACACACACACACACACACACACACACCTGCCAGCGCTGAGATGCTTACACATTCACTGACTCAGCTTTCCTCCTGCAGTCGGCATTGTGGAGTGTGAATTGTGAGAAGAAGGAGGATGTTGTGGATTGGTGTCAGACATATAGGTTAATGTTGGACTTGTGGTCTTGGACAGCACTGGGTTGGGATGTTTTCTTGATGTGCACTTACCCTTTATATAAAACACTCTCTTATACATATGAGTTTCTGTGGATTTGTTTCTCTAATGTTCCCAGACTAACACACTCACTTATCAACATGATTAGGTTCCAAAGACCACATTATTACACAAAAATCAATGTTATGCAACAATGGAAGATGACCATATCAGATCACAAAATGAAGGATGACTACATCCTTACATAAATGCCATATTATATTAATACATAACTGTCAAACCACTGAAGGTCATGGCTACCCAGTTGACACAAAACTTTAACCATCACATTCAGTGTTACTCTCACCTCATCATACCTTAATATTCTGTTACTACCATTAATTCCCAAAAGAGTGGGGTAGTACATGTTTTTAGTATTGTGGCATGCATGAGATGTTAAAGAGATAGTTGATAAAGAGTAGGCATATATTAAACATAGTTAGTTCAATAGGCACCAAAAAATCAATCTGGCTTCTAATAATACTTTTTAAAGTATTATTGCCTATAGTGCTTGCCTATAGTGGCTTGTGTGTCGCTGTGATGCTGGAAGCTATGTCGAAGATGTTTGTCTTGCTTGGATCTACCATCATTGCTCATGGAAGCAGCAGTCAAGATCAAAAGACGTGTTGCTGCACAAAACTTCTTTAGAGTATTGAAAAGCAAGAATGTTACTTTGAGGACTAAGATGCACCTGACCCAAGTCACGGTATTTTTCCATTGCCTCATGTGCATGTGAAAGTTGGAAATTGAATAAAGAAGACCAGAGAGGAATCACTGCATTTGAATCGTGGTGCTGGGGAAGACAGTTGTCGGTACCATGTTTGACTACCGCTGCAAGGACAACCGGATCTGTCTTGGGAGAAGTATGGCTAGAGTGCCCCTTGGAGGCAAGACTTTGTCTCACATACTTGAGACATATTGTCAGGAGAGACCAGTCCCTGGAGAAGGACATCATGTTTGGCAAGGCAGAGGAGCAGCACAAAAGCGGAAGTCCCTCCAGGAGATAGATTGACACTGACTCCAAGAATGAGCTCAAGAATAGGAACAACTGTGAGGATGGCGCAGAACAGGGTAGAGTTTCATTCTGTTGTATGTAAGGTCGCTGTGGTCCAAACCAACTCGATGGAACCTAACAACAACCAATTTCAGATGAAAGATACAAGTGGGAATCCCAAATCGCAACATCACAGGTTTGCCACCAGGAGCAAAGTTCACACACAAGGAAGCTGTAGTGCAGGGTGGGTGGAAGAAGAGATGTGCCTAAACAGAGCAACCATAGGTTACCATCGATAGTCCATCCCTGTGTCAAAATAATGAAATGTTTGATACCTTTGACCCTGGAACAAGACTAGTTCATACTAGGTACTTTGGAGGATCATGTGTGTCCAATGGCTATATTATGCTAATGTAGACTTTTCTCTGCTGAAGTGATTATTTCAACAATATGCTCAAAATAACAAGATAGCCCCTCAGAAGGTTACAGAAAGTTCATTTAGACAAGATTTAATTATGTGCCGTAAGAGAAGCTTCATTTAAAACAGGTTAACCCAGAGAAGAAATGGCCATTGCTCCCCTTCAGACAGTGATTGTTGTGAGAAACAAAAATTAAATTAAAATCACATGGGTCTGCAAGTTTTACACATGGGTGCTGCTGCCCAAAATGTCAGAAAGCTTACCCTGATATATCCATCTGACCCAATAGTGATAACTTCACCCTCATCCAACACGATGTGGTTAATGGAGCCACTGTGGCAAGACTTCCTTGCTAGTCGGCAGAGCTCCACTTTGATGAGGCCTGCTTCCCACAGCAGCATGTTGCCCCACTCCGACCCAGACAGCACCTACCAGGTGTCGGGAAAGAACACAACAGGCATGAAATCAGAAACTCCACCTCATTGTGCCTCAAGCAGTGGGTGTGAAAAGCATTTCTAAAAGATTTCTTCTTCTTGATTACTAAAGCAAAAGAATTAAGCATGGAAAAACAAGGAAATAGAGATGTAAACTCATTACCACAGAAACTGCCACTGAGATCACTTTGTAATGCATTTCCTGCTTGCTCTTTCCATATGTTCGTGTCATTCTAAGTTATACATGGATGACAATTTTTCAGTTCTATCTACAATAGATTTCTTTGTATATCTCTTACAGACACAATTTGGGAATGGAATTACTGGATCAAATGTTAAAGACATGCTTAGAATTCTTGATAGAAAAGAGAGTGATTTCTAAGTGTGATTAATTTTATAAAATGTTTGATAAGGTGTGAGGCCATTGGTAAACTGAAAAAATTACTAGCATGATGGTTCCCAACTACAAAGATACTTGTCAGAAATTACCTAAAATGAATTCAATCCATTGAATCTAGAATCTCTAAAAATACCGACTACCAAACACTAGCTCTTAGGATGTCCATGGGTGTTACATAATAAATAATATTTCCTGAATGTCAAGCACTGCTTGAGCCCTTTACACATTTTAAATGATTGAATCCTAAACACCACGGAAACTAGGGACAGTTGTCAGAAATACCATATACAGTTGCGCCTGTTGGACACAATATTTACCCAGAAGGAAGACCTTTTGTCTCATTCGCCTAAAGCAACGATCTACATAGATGGCAGTCTTATTGTCATCATCTCCATTTTATACATAAGAAACTGTAAAGCTGAGCAGTTAAGTGACTTGTCCAAAATCAAGCAAGGGGGTCAGGACTCTAATCCAGACCTTGTGGTTCAAAAGCCCCCATCTTGACCCAGTGCAGTAGCACAGTACCTCAGAAGGCAGGTGCTAGGTAACAACGTCAAAGAAGGTTCTTTTCTTGAGGACTCTTGGGAACTTTGAATACACAAGTGTTCACTGGGAACCATCAAGAGGAATTTCTAGATGTAATTTGACCAGGCACCCCCGCCCCTTTGACAAGGAGCTTCTGTGCAGACCAGTTACAGACTGCGCTTTGGCAAACTGCCTGCTCTAAGCATCTGCAATCCCATCTCTTCTCACCTGGGGTAGCCAATGACTTCATTCATAGACTTTGTCTCCTCTTAACTCTAGGGCCTGTCTGGAAGAGTGTGTTTTTTATTGCGTTTCAGTGAAGTTGTGCTAGTCTGTATGTAGTCTTGTGTCACCTGTCCAGTGACAGCAGTCTCCAAGGGTCAGCAGAGTCTCTAAGGCATTCCTTTCGGCAGTGTCATCCACGGCTAGCGTCCCTTTTCCAACTGTCTTGAGAGAAGCCTGGGCTCTCACCCTCTCTTCTGAGATGATACCAACAGTTTCTGAGATGATCCCAGCTCACCTGCCTGGTGCCAGGCTTCTCTGCCTCTCACCTGCCTGGCATTTCGTAGGACAGTTTATCAGTTACTACTTTCCCTTGCAACTCTACTCTTCAAATGCACAACAGTGACCATTGGCTAGTCCAACCTTTATCCAACAGAACCCTACTACAACCGCTCACCCTAATTTCCCCGTTTCCTGGCATGATTGTTTATTCCAGATCTGCTCTCTACATGTGTACTAGTGGTTCCAAACTCGGAACATTTCCCTTGAGGCGCTCCCATTTAAAACGGCTCATTTCCGCCCTGTATTCACACAACCTCTCTTGACCCCTTTAAAGTTGCGCCTTATGCCGCATTTTTGCTGAGGATGGCATTGATTTCCTCTGCAGCTGAATCCTTACAGGAGTCGCAATTTGAGCTGCAATCATCTGCCATCGTTTTAAAGTCTGGAGATGGTTGAGCTAACATCAGCAGCTGTGTTTCCTCTTATACCTGTGTTCTCTACTTCCTCGTAGAAAAGTAGGCCGGCTGGTTCCCTAAAGGCTGAGTACTATTTGCATGTCGGTATTTATACTTACAAATGAGATACCACAGACCATGCTGTAGAACACACCCAATTGGAAACTCAATACAACACTAATAAAAAAAACAATCCTAGTTAACTATAATTTCAGATAATTTGCCTCTACATTTTCTAAGAGGAAGAGAATAAGTGAACAACATTAAGTAATAAGCAGATTAAAGTTATACTGCAACATGGTTCGATCTTCCTGAAGAATAATTTGACAATAAAAACAAAAGCCACAAGACCCTACCTAACCTTGGATCCAGTTAGACCTCTTGAAATGTGGCAAAAGAAGAAAGAGGAAAGCTAAGCAAACATTAGCATATGTGTGTGTGTGTTTGTAGATATGGTTGAAATCTTAGATATTTGAAAACTTACTTTTACTAATGTAGAACGGCAGCTGTACCCACCTTCCCATCAGGGAGCTCCATGTAACCTTCTATATCAGTCGTGGCTGTTTTGCCAAATCGACCGAGATAGCCCTGTAGCTTAAGACCAGTGAACGTGAGGGCCATTTCCCAGAACCTGCAAACCAAGAAGAACCAGACTGACTCTACTGCAAATAAATTCCGGTCCTTTTTATTTTACTACGCCCCCAGCATTTTTGTGTATTTCATACTCGTTTATCTATTATGTCATTCATTCATGCATCCAGTTAATATTTAATAAGTATCTAAATCCAAATCCATCTAAATCCAGAGTCCACAACCATCAAGCCAATTCCAGCACACAGCAACCTGCTAGGTCAGAGTCGACCTGCCTCACAGGTTAAGGACGCAGACTGCAACCTTTTCTCCCACAAGAGCAACCGGTGGGTTCAGACTGCAGTCCTCTCATTCAGCAGCCAAGCGCTCAACCACTGCCCTGCCATGGGTCCTTCCTTACCTGTTAGGCAATATGAATTAAGCAGTGAATGAAATAGACACAGGGCCTCCCCGCACCCCTCCTCAAACAAACAAACAAACAAACCTGCCTTCAGGAGTCTTCTATTTGAGAACCATCCTTTTAAATAGCACTCAGCAGAGTGGCTATTTAAATGTAAAGTAATTGACATCAAATACAATGTACACTTCAGGTTTTCAATCAGACTAACCAATTTCAAGTGCTCCTGTATTGTTTTCCTTCTCTAGGACTTCACACCTGAAATTCATCATCCCACATCTCTCCAATTGTAGCGCATAATGAAAGCTCCGTAGGAATTTGCAAGCATCTTGCGAATATTCTTTATTAAGACACTCCTTCAGGGGGTAAAGATTACTAGAAGGCAGCAGGCTAAATATGAGCCAGCATCAACCTGATGGCAGTGAGTGAGTAGGTGAAGGAGTGAGAGAGTGAGGGAGTGAGTGAGTGGGTAAGTGAGAGAGTGAGGGAGTGAGTGAGTGAGAAAGTGAGTGAGAGAAAGAGAGGGAGTGAGGGAGTGAGTGAGAGAGAGGGAGGGAGTAAGGGAGTGAGGGAG